TTTGTATTCGGGTTAATAGGGTTTTGTTCAGTTTGATGTCCTAATGACCTGATTAGGCAAAATTGATATCAAAATTGAATTACTCACATCTGATTAACCCTAGAAATGATGGTCTCATGGTTCAACAATTTCATATTGGGCATGATTCCCAATTTGGGTTCAAAATTCTTAGTTTTCAATTGAATTTTGGGGTTTTCTGATTTCTTTAACAAATTGTGCAATTGGACCGACCATTATGTAATTCAAGGTCCCAGAATCATTTGTTGTGAAGACACTATGACTTAAAAATGACTAGAAAAGATTTAATTGCGTTTTTGGTTCAATTCGGGTTTAATTTTGCCCAATTTTTGGAAAAACATATACCCGATTGAGATTTTTCAAAATTGATGATGCATTCATGAAATTGGATTTAAAATAAGACTAATGACTATTTTTATGGAATTTTCTGATTCCATTTGCTATTTTTCTTGATTTTCTCATTTATTTTGACAAAATGAAAATAAGGAAAAATGCTAAAAAATGCTAAAAAATTATTTTTTGGTTTAGAAATAGGTTTCTAGGTTTGGCCAAGATTCCTAGTCCTAGTTTTGAGATTTTTGAAAATATGAAAAAAATGAGCTAAAAATCAGGTGTCAATAACTGCCCTTCTTTGAGATTGAGCTCGTTAGAGGTTGATCTCAAAGACAAGGTGACACCTGAGTTTTCAGTCAACTCAATGAACAAAATAAGATGGAAATTTCATAACAACTGATTAGGGATCTTGCTTTTAAAATTCGTGATCTAATCCAAAAGTTTTCTTTTCAAAATGTATTTTGAAAGGTTTTTAATGATTGAGGGAGAGAAACTTACCTGTTTGTGAGCTGTCTCCTTATCACTTATCCAAGGGCATGAATTGATGGTGATGATGATTATGATGATTATTTAGATTTCGTGGTTTGTGGACGAATCCACGAACCATGAACGCCTGAGGCTCCTCCCCTGAGGGTTTGGAAATTTGCCTAGTGGTTTCTCACCAATAGGACTTTAAATTTGCCTAGGGGCTCCTCGCCTGGAGGACTTTAATTTGCCTAGGGGCTCCTCGCCTATAGGACTTGAATTTGCCTAGGCGCTCCTCGCCTGTAAGACGTTGGATTTACTTAGGGGCTCCTCGCCTGTAGGACTTGAATTTGCCTAGGGGCTCCTCGTCTGTAGGACTTGAATTTGCCTAGGGGCTCCTCGCCTGTAGGACTTTGAATTTGCCTAGGGGCTCCTCGCTTGTAGGACTTTGAATTTGCCTAGTGGTTCCTCACCTGTAGGACTTTGAATTTGCCTAGGGCTCCTCGCCTATAGGACTTTGAATTTGTCTAGTGGTTCCTCACTAGTAGGACTTGAATTTGCCTAGGGACGCATCGCCTGTAGTACTTTGAATTTGCCTAGGGGCTCCTCGCCTGTGGGACTTGAATTTGCCTAGGGGCTCCTCGCTTGTAGGACTTTGAATTTGCCTAGGGGTTCCTCACCAGTAGGACTTTGAATTTGCCTAGGGGCTCATCGCCTGTAGGACTTTGAATTTGCCTAGAGGTTCCTCACCAGTAGGACTTTGAATTTACCTAGGGGCTCCTTGCTTGTAAGACTTTGGGAAGACTTCGAACAATGAATTCCTTGACCGTGAGTTATGTGATTTTGAGGTTTCACTAACCTTTGTATGGTTTTTTAGTTGACCATAAACTATTTTGAAAAATAGTTTTGAAATTAATCAAAACTGTTTGAAGCGTGATTTTTTCTTAGCTTACCACAAATCGTTTAAAAACCTGATTTTAAATTGGCCAAAAACTTTTGAAACCTGGCTTGGAAACATGCATTCTTTGCATTAATGCATTTCAAACAATCAAATTTCTTTTTTGAGGAATTATTTGAACAAAATGCTTGCAATCTTTCAAGAAATGCTTGAAATGATCGTTTGGAAGACCTTCATTAGAAAGGATTTGTTTCCATCTATGAACTTGGTCTTTTCTTTGTCTGATTGAAAGGGGAACTTGTTGGAACTTATATGATATCCCTCAATTTTGTCTCTCTTAACCAATCCTTAGGTGTTCGGAGATGTTCGCAATGTATACAATCCAATTGATCCGATAAGGTCTTTCGAAGGATTGTAATATTGGCTTGGTCAATGGCTATTCAAAGGATAGGCATTGTAAGGCTAAGAAAAAGGATTTCATCATATCTGACTTCGGATCTACAAGTTAAGAACCTCGAGGACAAGACAAGATATTATTGCATACACTTCTTTGAGTGATGACTTCTTGTCATAAAGTCATGTTTCTACTCTCAACATCCCAATCTGAAGAGTCTTTGGGGAGAGGTTGTATTGTTAGTATTGGGTAGGCTCAAAAGGCTCGTTTATTTGAATTCAGAGTTTTTATGAAATTGATGATCTTCTTGGCATCACCACTTTTTCTCTTTTTTTTTTTGCTTGCTAAGGGTCTTTCTTTTATGACCATCAGAGTCCCCTAAAACATTTATTATAATCTCTTTTCTTTTGCTCATTCTCACTTGTTGTGTTCTATGATCTCTCATGATCTTGACTTTGCTTTGTCATGACTCTTCTTTTTTTGTCATTTTGAGCTTTCTTTTGAACTCTTTTTTTCTTTCTCTTTTTTTCCTCGGGCATTTGGCCTTACTTTTACCAAGCACACTGCTTTTTCATGCCCCAGACTCTTTTGTCTTTGATCTTTTGAATTCTAAGAACTCTGTGTTCTGCCCTTTTGTTTCTTATCTATTAAAGTGGATCATATGCTCATGCTCCAGTATGAAGAGATGATCACCAATTTGGGGTTCTGAAATGAATATTCAGGCTCAATTGGGTTTTGCCAAAGGTAATGTATTTGGGTATAAGAAATGAAGTGCTCTTCTTCCTTTTGGGATGTCTTGAGCTTCCATATGACTTTATAAGAAGTTATCACAGAAAGATTGATGCAAAAGTATGCAATAAAATCTTTCTTGATCCTATTCTCCATAGCTGTCAATCACAAACTTCCTGATTTGCCCAATGTGGGGTGGTTCTTAACATGGTTGTTTTGGAAAAACTTCTCCACTATTTTGGCTCAAATTTGGCTTGCAAAGGGTAAGCATGTGTGTAGGATAGTGAAATGACTGCCTTTCATTATTTCAATCCATGTAATCATTACGAACATCCCCTATTTCCTTCGGATGAGTTTTTCTCACTCACTTCTCAATTTTTGACTTTGAGTGTATAAATGACGTGTGTGGATATGGCTTACCTTTCATCATTTGAAGGTCTTTCCATTCGATTTGATCCAAACTTTTTATATGAAATTTTTCAAAGCTTTTTGTCAAATTATCCCTTTTAAGGAATTTTGATGCTTAGTGCATTTTCAAAGACAGCGTGTTTCAAGACTTTTTATTTGAAACATTTCTGAGGTATTTTCCTTTTCAAAACAATCTGTTTTGTTTTGCTCAGCCTTAGTGTCATTCCGCTTGGGGAAGAAAAAGTTTGATTTTTCTCTTAAAAATGCAACTTCTTTAACACATGCTCTCACGATTTGAGGATACCTATCTGATCAACTTACCAAGATCCATTTTGTTTGCATGTTTTGCTTTGGTTCCATTGGGGATTCTTCCTTTGTTGCTCCCTTTTCTTTGTCTTCCTGGAGATGATAAAAAGGAAAGCGCATTAGAGGACATCAATGGAAAATAGAATTGGAAGTGATACTGCCCTTTACTATTTGATAACTCCATTAGGAATTCTGAAATCATCAACTGGTTCGGATTCTTTTGCTTTCTTTTGCAAAACCGATAAACATATTCATGAAATGCATGGTATGCATATATGCGTGATATGCACATGTTCTAAAATGACCCGAATCTTTTCTTGAATGTTTGTCTTCATTTCATGGGTAGAAAATCTTGACAGCATCTACATTTACAAGATAGGCCAATTCTGTTCCTGCTATATCTACAAGAATCAATGCTCCTCCAGGAAGAACTTTCTTAACAATGTATAGACCCTCATAATTCGGAGTGAATTTGCCATGAGGATCTGAATTGTTGAAGATGACTTTCTTCACTATCAAATCCTTTGTTTTGAAATTCCTCGATTTCACTTTTCGATTAAAGGATATAGCCACTCTTCTCTAATAGGCTTGCCCATGGCATATAGCTCTTAATCTCTTTTCATCGATCATGTTGAGTTGTTCATATCTTTGTTGAATCCACTCAGCTTCTGAAAGCTTCAATTGGGATAGTATCCTTAATGAAGGAATTTCTGCTTCAATAAGTAGCACTACTTCCATTCCGTAAACCAATGAAAATGGGGTTGCTCCAGTTGATGTTCGAATTGAAGTTCGGTATGCCATCAGAGCATACGGTAACCTTTCATGCCAATCACGATAATTTTCAGCAATCTTGTCCAGTATCTTCTTGATATGCTTATTTGCTGCATCAACTGCTCCATTCATTTGTGGACGATATGGAGATGAGTTCAAATGTCGGATGTGGAAGTGTTCGAGTAAGTCATCCACAATCTTGTTGTTTAGATTTGAGCCATTGTCCGTAATTATTGCTTTTGGAACTCCATACCTAGCAATGATGTCCCACCTAATGAATCTTGCAACATTCTTGGCAGTATCATTCGTGTAGGAGTTTGCTTTAATCCATTTAGTGAAATAGTCAATAGCAACCAGGATGAACCGGTGTCCATTTGAGGCCTTGGGGTTGATTGGACCATTCATATCAATGCCCCACATTGAAAATGGCCATGGCTCGTGTCACGCCCCGAACCCCAACGAGCACGCGACACCCTTCTTTGGTCTAATATTGCGACGTCCCAGAAAATCGCCGACCCAATTCAACTTATCAGAGATTTAAAACATCAACGAAAGCCACAAACACCCACACAATAGTTGACTAGGGATAAAAGGGAGTATAGACATCCATTACTTATCCAAACTTATACAATATTCACATGTACAGCCCATAATATACAAGCACACCGAAAATCTAAACTATGCAGCACCGACATCAAAAAGATCAACAGCCTGGGTATACCCTATCTCCAAAAATGGTACACTTCAAAAAGCCTACACTCAACCCCTACACTAGCCCCTACGCCCTCTAGATGGCGTCCACTCTGAGTCCGACTCCTTAGGACCCGAGTCTGAATCCCCCTGAACTGTCTGCTCCTCTGAGGATTCCGAATCAGCATTGATCTCGATCGGGTTATCCACATCACCCGACTCTAGTGGAACCTCTACCCGCTCCTCCTCATCAGACTCCTCTTCCGGCTCGTCCGCTGGCTCATCCTCTGGCTCATCCTCGGGTGCGTCCTCTGGTTCCATCTCTGGGTCTTCTTCGGGCTCATCTTCGGGTTCTTCTTCCGGCGCCTCTTTAGGTTCTTCCTCAGGGTCTTCTTCTTCTGGTTCCTCCTCTGGTATTACCTCGAGGTCTACATCCATAGGATCGTATCCTGCCGGGACTCCTCCGGCTCCGGATCATGCTCGGCCCCTGAGGGCTCAGGTGCTGCAGGCGCAGGCTCAAGTCCGGACTGTGCCAGGCTAGTCTCCAGACTAGTCATATCGCCGTCAGGAAGGGGTATGGCTGATGGATCCCAATCCCCTGCTCCGTCAAACGGCACGTCAAAGCCACGGACGGGGCCAAACTCGTCCAACCCGTCCCTAAACATCCAAGCAGTGTAGGTGTGGGCCTGCCAGAGAGGTAGTCCTACGTCTACCCAAACTACAGTAATATGCTTAACCCAGGTTGTATTCTCGTCTATAGGGTACTCTACGACATTATGGTTGGTGTGCAGCGGAATCCCAAAATGCTGCGGCGGCGGCGGTGGCGGTAGATTCATGGCTCAGGGCGGGGTTCTGAAATTGTTTGGTTGAAAGAACCATGAGAACACGTCTCAATAAGTACGCACCCTAAACCCCACCTAGGCTATCACGTACCTCCAGACAAGTTCAAACACAAACACACTCAATCACCACATAACAGGCACCCAATTTACACTTACTTGGGCTTTCTATGCGTGCAACCTGCACGTTAGCCACAATAACACAATTTCCAACCACATGCACGTTCCGAATACATTTCACGCATTCGTTCCTACCTCATCACCCTATTTTCACTCAACTCGCCAGTGACCCGTGTAATGTATCGCCTCAGGTTCACTACGACCATCTGATATTTTCCACTCGACTTGCCAATGACCCGCGTAATAGTACCGCCTCAGGTTCACTGCAACCAACTCATATTCACAACACTTCTTGGTCCGCGTAATAGTACCACCTCAGGTCATATATCTTGCCCGCGTAATGGTACTGCCTCAGGCTCAACATCCACCACCTACGGCACAACCCGCATTATGGTACCGCCTCAGGTTGGCCGTCCTCCGGTAATACCGGGCATCGTCCCGCGTAATAGTACCGCCTCAAGACGGCTCAATTCCCCGCGTAATGATACCTCCTCGGGGATTTTTATAGCCACACATACAGCATCACACCCAATTTCTCACTTATCCACTCGCTTGATTTACATGCCAATATTGCAATTTACTAGCCGATCAAATTCGGCCAATGCACGCATCAAACTTCACGCATTTCACATGCTCAATAAACACTCAATCACGGCCAATGGCCAGTCAATTCAATTCAGCCCATGCGTGCACATAACGGCCCATATTTCAATCAATCAACTCACGATTCAACGAACATACAAGGCCACTATCGGGCCCACAATCACAGCCACAATCATGGCATAAATTCAGCATTTCCGAGTCTATTTCCAGCCCTAATAACCACCACAATTCAGCCACAACACGGCACGCCAACCCGATACAATTTAGTCCCTAAATCAAGCCATATGCTCATCAATACGAGCCACAATTTCCAGCACCCAATTCAGCCTCAATTCAGTCCCAAACCATCACCATTTCACCAACAAAGTCAGCCACCATCAGCCCTCAATCAGTCCACACCAAACAACCCTTAACAGCCCTTAATTAATCCCAAAATAGCCCCTAATAAATCCGATTCAACCCCTAATCATGTCTATCGATACCCGACATCCTAAATAGGGTTTAGGGGGGCGACTTACTTGGACTCTAGGCTAGCTCGGCTGAAGGGGAAAGGGGCGGCGGTTGGCGGTCACGCGGCGACGGCGAGTGGCTGAACGGCGGACGGCGATGGTTGGCTGGGCGGTGGCTGGGCTTCCACGGCTGAACAGGACAGAATGAAGATGATGGTGTTTCGGTGGGGGAAACAGAACAGGGGAGAGACAGACGGTGAGGTGAACGGCGATGGTGAGGCGAGCTGCTCCGGCACGGCTGATCCGGCTGGACGGGAGGGCGGCGGCGGCTGCTGGCTAGGCGAGACGGCCACGATCACGGTGGGGAGGGGCTGGCTCGGTCGGGAGGGAGAGAGAGAGAGGGTGAGACCGAGAGAGGTGAGAGAGTGAGAAGAGTGAGAGAAATGGGAAATATAAATGAAGAACACCAATAATTGATGTCTAGATCATGCCTAAATGACCATCATGCCCCTTTCTCACATTTCCAATCAACGGCCAAGATTCGTTCTTATCTTGAGATCAACGGCCGAGATCAAATCTTTTCCAAAATATCCAAGGGCAAAATGGGAATTTCATAAAAAGTCCAAGGGTAAAATTGTCCAAAAATCTCTATTTCTAAAGGGAGAGTGAAATGACCAAAATGCCCTTCCCCATTTACACTGGCCTTAACAAAGCGCTAGGGGTAAAACGGTCATTTGCCACTTCTCGCCGGAATTCGATTTTTCTGAAGGATTCGGACAATTCAATGGTTGATCATGCCAATAACAACATCGTCCAAATGTTCTGTCGAGACTTTCCCAATTTCCAATGCCCAACTTGGTCTCTAATCAATGACTAAATTTAAAATAACGTAACTTGAGCATATCTCATACTAACGGGTGGCTTTTGGGGAAATTCGCACATTTGACCCGTGGCCGATACTGAATCAAGCCACGTTCAAGTTCACTCGGGTCGTGACAGCCTCGGTTGTCACTTTATCGCGAGGATCAATCGCTAGTTCCGACGGGCACGATCGTTTGGTATAGGTTTAGGGTCATTCGTCAGTTCATTTCGTGGTCAAGCGGAATCACCCGCGATCCATTCGTATGACAATGGCGAACTGATCCCTAACTATCCTTGGATCGGCCTACATTGGCTCAAAATGTCACCTCGACAATTTTCATGGTCGAGAGTCGGTTCACGATCGAGTTCTTTGGTTGCGCGAATTTAAATCCCTAATTAGCCTTTACCTAACGGTTAGTATCCTAGGAATGATCAGTTCCGGGCAAGAACTAACTACAAGCACGTCCATAAACCATTCATTTAATAAATCCCAAGTGGGCCGGATTTTAGAATGTCACAGCTCGGACATTTGATGTAGCTCGTTTGGCAGTGCATTGATTTTGTCTCCATAAACTTGACATTGATGACAACATCTCACGTGTTGGATGCAATCTGATTCTATTGTCATCCAATAGTATCCCAACCTCATAATTTTTCAGGCTAGAAGATGTCCATTCATGTGTGGTCCACATTCACTTTTGTGAATTTCTTTTATGATCTGTTCAGCTTCTGTAGCATCCACACATCTTAGTAGGGTTGAATCAAATGATTTCTTGTAGAGGATTTGACCACTGAGGAAGAATTTGTTGGCTATCTTCCTTATAAACTTCCTGTCACCTGGTTGGCTTTCTTCAGAAAATTCTCCCGATTGAAGATATCTTTTGATGTCATGATACCATGGTTCATTGTCGAACTCTGCTTGGACCATCATGCAATAAGCTGGTTGTTCAAGAATATTGATTCTCAATGATTTTATATCCATACCATCTTCAGCTTGTAGTAAGGGTGACAAAGTTGCCAAAGCATCTGCAAAATGATTCTGAGTTCTTGGGAGATAATCGAATGTTACTTCTTCGAAACTTTCTATCATCTCTTCTAAGTATCTGTGATAAGGAATTAGTTTGGCATCTTGAGTTTGCCATTCACCAGTTGTTTGCAATATGATGAGCATAAAATCTCCATATACTTGCAACCTTTTTACCTTCATTGAAAGGGCTAATTGTAAGCCGAGAATGCATGCTTCATATTCAGCGACGTTATTGGTGCATGGAAATACCAATTTCGCAGATACCGGATAGTGTTGGCCTTCTGGGGAGATCAGTACTGCCCCAGTTCTTGATCCAGATAAGTTGGTTGCACCATCAAAATACATGGTCCATTTATCGTCGACCAGTGTTAATATATGATTATCAAGTTGTTCTTCAAGACTGGCAATATTCTGCGAATTTTCTGCCAATATGTCTGCTATTGCTCGTCCTTTGACTGACTTTTGGGATGAACTTCTGATATCGAATTCAGATAACAAAACTTGCCACTTTGCTAATTTCCCGACCAAGGAGGATTTCTCGAGAAGATACTTGATCGGATCATTCTCAGTCACTAGCAAAATTTGGTGATGAAGGGTGTATTGTCTTAGTCTGTGTAAAGCCCAAATCAATGCAACGCATGTCTTCTCGACTGTCGGGTAATTCACCTCTGATGCTGTGAACTTCTTGCTCAAGTAATAAATGGCTTGTTCTTTACCATCATTTGGTCTTCTTTCTACAAGCACCGCTCCTAACGACTCATAGTGAATCGTCAAATATAAGATCAGCGGAACTCCAGGAATTGGTGGTACCAACACTGGTGGGCATACCAGATATTCTTTGATCTTGTCAAAGGCTTGTTGACATTCTGCATCCCACTTTACTTTGGCATTTTTCTTCAACAGTTTGAAGAATGGTTTAGCAGTCTTAGAAAGCTGATAGATGAAACAGGCAATGTAGTTTAATCGCCCCAACAAGCTTCTCACTTCTTTTACCGTAGAAGGAGTCTTTAAGTCGTATATTGCCTTGATCTTGGAAGGATCTATTTCGATTCCCCTGTTACTGACCACAAATCCTAGCAGTTTGCCAGATTTTGCCCCAAATACACATTTGTTGGGCTTCAATCGCAACTTGTACTTTCTAAGCCTTTCGAATAATTTGCGAAGCACCTCAACACGATCTTCTCCTTGTTTGGATTTTGCAATCATGTCATCCACATATACCTCGATTTCTTTGTGCATCATGTCATGGAACAAAGTTACCATTGCTCTTTGATATGTGGCACCAGCATTTTTCAAACCAAAAGGCATCACCTTATAACAAAATGTGCCCCATGGTGTTATGAAGGACGTTTTCGCCTTATCCTCTTTCTTCATGAGGATTTGATTATATCCTGAGAAACCATCTATGAATGAAAATGTTTCGAACCCAGCAGTGCTATCCACTAATACATCATTATGTGGAAGCGGGAAAACATCCTTAGGGCTTGCTTTATTTAGGTCACGATAATCACCGCACACCCGTACTCGACCATCTTTCTT